AACGTACTGGACTGATTGGTGCAAGAATGGCTGGTGCGCGCCGAGCCACAGCCGAAGTACTGATATTTTTGGATTCACATATTGAAGCTAACTACAATTGGCTGCCACCGCTATTGGAGCCAATAGCAATAAATAAACGAGTTTCGGTTTGCCCGTTTATCGACGTTATCGATCACAGTAATTTTGAGTATAGAGCACAAGACGAAGGCGCTCGTGGCGCATTCGATTGGGAGTTTTATTACAAACGCTTACCGTTATTGCCGGAAGATTTGGAAGACAGAACTAAACCATTTAAGAGTCCAGTTATGGCAGGTGGATTATTTGCTATATCAAGTGATTTTTTCTGGGAGTTGGGTGGCTACGATGAGGGTCTTGATATTTGGGGAGGCGAACAATACGAACTGAGTTTCAAGATTTGGATGTGTGGTGGAGAGCTTGTGGATGCGCCTTGCTCGAGAGTTGGACATATCTACAGAGGTCCACTAAACCCAAGACCTAGTCCTCGAAAGGGAGATGTGTTACATAAAGTAAGTTTAGTTAGTAGTTGGAAGTTGACGATTTGACGATTTTATTTATTCAAATTTCCCATACAAAGTTTTTCTATTTTTTTTTATAGTTAATTCAACAGTAAAAACTACAAGATTTTTTTTTTAACATCATACAGAACTCAGGAAAATTCAAGAGATACCAAGATACTTTCATCGAAATTGTCAATTTTTCAATTCGATTTCCTAGACAAATTTTTAGTATGCAGTTTTTAGGCCCATTAAATTTTAATATAATAACGCGCAAGTTTCCATTTTCTATTTTTTGGTGCCGAGGGTATTGCGCAAGAACTAAATTCTTTTTTATATGAAAGAATGTAAGCCAAAGTACAAAACTGCTATTGACTGAACTATATATATTTTTATAAAACAGCTTGCAGAATCGGCGAACTTCGTTCCGCCAAAATTAATTATTTTTTTTTTATTGAAACATTTGGTCCAAGCTTTCGCCAGCAATTCACTTTCACGTTTGGTTTTGTGGTCGACAGAAGGCATATCCTCCATTGCCATCTTAAATTACCTGACGAAAGCGTTATACCGGGAAGAAGTCCTTGCGGCTCGATGGTGAATTGTCCTTGAATCTGTATAGTATAGTTGGTGGCAATTTACAAACTGGTGAGTATCATTGGTCCACTTTCTGTTTAGTCACCGTAAAGTAAGGACCGCAATGGTTCTGAGGGTTGATTTAAAGGGGGTAATTTGACTTTGATCCCTGGTGCCTCCGAGTTGATGATTTTTGGCAATAACTCGGCCCCAGCGCCATCTTTTTTTGTAAGAGTATTGCCCCTATCGTTACCAATACATATATATCTCGAATATGAGTCTAATCGGATCACAAATACGATTTTAAGTAATAACTCGACTCCAGCGCCACCTGGCGTTTTAAGTTGTGAAAATTGTACAGGGATCTAGTCAAACACATAAAAAAATGTCATTAAAATCGTTTCGGTCGTTTAGGAGGAGTTTACCCACCAAAATAAGTCCTTTACATACTGACACTCTGCGGCATTTTCGCCAATACAAAAAAAAAACTATAACGCAGTCATTATACGGAGAAAATGGGCAACATAATCAGCGAAAAAGTTTTAAAAAATCAACGGTAACTTATAGCCATTTAAAACCTGCACTTTATGAAACCGAAATCGAGTGAATTACAAAACTGCATACTCAAAGTTGCCATTAGATGCAAAATGAACTATATTTCTAGAAAAAATTAACAAAAAAAAATATTATAAAAAAGAAAAAAAAAACACTGTATCCTGGGTGTATATATTTACAGATAAGTAAAGGTTTCAATATGTTTGGAAAACGCTACGCCCTCTTTTCCAGTAGCCCAAAAATCTCTACACAAATGTCCAGAACACTACCACAAATACTTCCAGATATATTCGGTATAGAGATGGGCACGGGACTAAATATTTGGTCCCGATCCCGCCCATCCCGAAATTCAATTTTTAAGGCCCGAACCAGCCCATCCCGACGTTTTTTAGAATTGTACAGCGGGTCCCGTGGGTTCCGAAACCTATCACTAAGAAAAATTCACATGTCTTTCAAAGTAATTTTAAATAACGAAAACACTAATGAAAGACCTGGCATCTTCCGATTATTTTGTTTTGCTTTGCTGTTCGTTTTCGTCCCGATAAAACAAAAGAGGTGCATATTTCACACATCGTTTCTAAGGAAGGTTGCGGTTTTATCGGTAGTATCGGGAAAGGATTTTGGTTCCGTCCCACCCGCAAAATTTCACAGACCTTCCCGATACCGCCTATCCCGGCCAATTTGAAATAAGTACCGTGGATCCCGCTGATCCCGATATCCCGCGCCCATCTCTAATTCGGTATGAAAAGTTCGATATGTATGGGTGATGCCACGCTCCTTTAATATATCGATAGTCTGCAGTAGGTGACTGAAATTAAAAAGAAAGGGTACAGCCGTTCGCGAGATCACCTCTTATAAAAAGAAGGAGCTTCTTTCTATATAATTAGTGTAGGTAACACAGGGAAACAGCGATTTTGATGCGGAAAATGTTAAAACTGTTTTTAACGGATTTGTAATCAGCAAAAAAAATCAGTCAAAAATATTGTCAACATTTGCTGCATATTGTTAAATAGCCAATACCCGCATGTTTGCGGCGCCTTCAAACACCTTTCGACCTGTAAAACAATGACTCAATTCTATTCTACGCATATCTATAATATGGGTATCAGATTTCAAGCAAATCGGACCATTAATAAGATTTTTTGGAATAGATCGGTTACTGGTCCACTTAAAGGAAAAAAAATGGATCCTGTATGCTAATCTGAACAAAAGGCTACCTACGCACCAAATTTCAAGCAAATCGGAACATAATCAAGATTTTTTTGAATATATTGGTCCCTGGTCCACTTCCCGGAAAAAATATCGTATAGGTTTTTTAAATAGATCGGTCCCTGGCCCACTTAACGAAAAATTTATCCAAACGAAAAAATTAAAACTCACACATAAAATGCAAAATTTCGTCGAAATAAAATTCAAAATTTTAGCGTTCTTCCGGAATTTTCTGAGTTTTCCACTTAGAATTTTCTATTTTTCCATTCGAAAGACTTTCAGAAGGAGTTGCACACAAAAAGTTAATTATCGATTTTTCCGATTTTCCGGCATTTCCGGAGGGTTTTCCCAAAATTTTCTTTCGTAAAAACTTTCTCTTCGCAAAAAAGAACAACTAAGAAAAATGTTTTCCCAAAATTTTCTTTCGTAAAAACTTTCTCTTCGCAAAAAAGAACAACTAAGAAAAATGTTAAGCCAAATCGGCCCAACCGTTCTCAATTGATGAATTACTATACATTTTTCACACCATTTTTATAAACATATCTGTGTTCGTATGGAAAAGTAGCTTATGTCGAAAGGCTGACTTTAATATAAATCGGCATTTGCAGTATACGATTCCGAATGATTCGCTGGCGCTGAGCCGTTGAACAACTTTTAGAAAATAAACGTGCAAGAAATAGTTCCGATACTAGCAAGTCAATATTCTTATTAAGTCTCATCAAAAAATTCCTTGTCGTTTAAAGAATAAAAGGAATGCCGCATTATACTAAAGCCAACCCTTCGACATAAGCTACTTTTCCATATGAACACAGATATATAGATTTTTGTTTTAATAAAAGAATGGCGTTTTTGTAAACCATTTGATGGTTGTACCCAACGGGGCCAAAAGCGCTCCATATTCAGCAGTGAGCGCTCCCTTTCTAATTTCATACTTCATTGTATTTTAACATTGGGTGTCATTAGAACGTAGCGCTTCCTTGCTGCTCCCAAATAAGCCCTTGGTGAACATTTAAAAAGCAATGCATGCTAATTTAATTTTTTATATTACAGTTTTGTTTTAATAAATAATGGTTTTTGTAAGCCAGTTGAAGGATTTATTAAGTGTACTTATTGTTTTTCTTTTCAATGTGGTATACATACGAAAATACATATGTACATACATACATACATGTTGGTACATAAATTAACTATTTTTCAAAAGAAAATATTTTATATTATTACTCCAAATGATATTTTTGTACTGCTCCGTACTTGCTCCTTTGGGGAGCAGCTTACTTGCAGTCCTATTGGGTACGTACATTAATTGTGGGAAATAGAAAATCGATAAGCAAAAAAGGGAATAAAAAATTTAGTAGAAGTAATGACTGGATGTAATAACTAACGAACTAAGGTGAGTGAGTTAATACAACAAATTACCAAAAAAAAAGTGAAACTAATTCAAAGAAAAAACCTTTACCGAAATTCACACAAACTAATCTATTCATAAAAAGCCGTAAATTTAAAAAATGTTAAACCCCAAGCTAACAAATCTCCTTATATCGTAAATTTGGAACCCTTCTGCTTTCGCTGCCGCTTCCAGAAGCGACGGCGCTGGCGTTGGTGGTGACTGGATGACGCTCACACCGACCGAGGTCAGATTCGCTTCAGAACAGTGCTGAAAAAGTAGGTACAATTTTAGCTTTTTCCGACATTTGCTGGTACAATCACTAGATTTTAGGTACAATCATCTTTTGATCAGATGAATTTTTATTCTAATTTTTAACCGGCTTCCAAAAAAGGGGGAGGTTGTCAGTTCGTTGGAAAATTGTATTAAAATGGATGAACTTTATACTTATACTTCTTTAAAGTAAAGAGTCATTGTGAGTTTGTAATCAAAAAAAGGTAACATAACTGAGAAGGAATTAACAAATTTACTTAAAGTTATTTAATTTCTACTCTCTATTCCAACAATCTCGACATTCACAGGAAGAAATTTTCCATCACTTAAAAGTCGTTTTTACTTTTTCTTTTAAATAAAATACTATATATATTTACTATAAATATTTTAGAAAATGTTGGCAACCCTACCCTAGACCGATGTACTCCCCTCTCGAATGACGGTGTGAAATCTACAAACGCTCTACTTTGCAATTGTTGGAATGCATTTTTGAATCTATTGAAACCATAAACGCTAAAGTTCCCGCATATGGTAACATTTTTAACTCTTCTATTGCTTTTATTTCTAGGATTTCTTCAAATTTCACATTTTCTGTAGTTAAGGCAATAGCTATTTGACCCATATTCCCTTTTTAATTTCTGAAAATATATTTAAAATGCTTTCGAAGTTACTTGCGGGAATTCCCATTATTTTCTGCACCTATTAAAGGGAACCAGATAATTATCAGACTTTTCCTGTTGTTTTACAAAAAGCTGGATAAACTAGTAAACTTCACAAAGTGTTTTCTTTTGTATTTTTCGCCAATATTTTGCAGTAGTCAAAGTTAGACAAAAAAAGCTTCTCCGATTCCCATAAGACTACATATAGTCTATAGATATTAGCTCAGTTACAAAAGAAGAACGAATCAAGTTTAAGGTACATCCATCTTTTCTATTCATATTTTAAACAAAATTGATAAAAAAAAAACTTATTTCGTTTAGCTATGGAATAGCAAGAATGCAACATATGTATTTAAAATTCCTTCACATTTTTCTTTTTATTGTGAATTGAAGGCTATCAAGTAATTATTTTAAACTCAAAGTCCTTTTGGGAAGAAACCCTGACGTGATTATGAAAAATTAAAAACGCCGATTTCTCACAACTAAGCTTTAGTATAGAACATAATTGTTTATTTTGGTGCACTGCTGGAAAATATAAAAATTGGAACCGTAAGTTCTTTAGAAGTGATACCAAATGCATACTTACATATTTAATTGACGAGCGGAACAATAATTTCCCGATCACACGCAAATGCTCAAACGTCTGATTCAGCCGTTCGGCGATTTTTATTTATTTGCAACTAACTTTTTAAACAGTTTTCTTTTTATTTCTTATAGAACTACAAGCGTGTGGCTGAGGTATGGATGGACGAATACAAATCGTATTTATACGAACACGGGAATGGATATTACGAGGTGATTGATCCAGGTGATTTGAGTAAACAAAAAGCTATTCGCGAAAAACTCCATTGCAAGTCGTTTAAATGGTTTATTGAGAACGTAGCATTCGACCTGATACGGGCCTATCCGCCAGTAGAGCCACCTGATTTTGCATATGGGGCCATACAAAGCGACGCCGAACCAGCACTTTGCATCGATACCTTAAACAAATCCCGGCATTCAAAAATTGGACTTTATCCCTGTGCACCAAATCTTAAACAGCCGCAAAGAAATCAAAATTGGGCTATAAGCTGGCGCAAGGACTTGCGTTTGCGTCGAAAAAGATATTGCTTCGATGTACAACAACAACCCCCGAATGCATCCATATGGCTGTGGGAATGCCACGGCCAGGGAGGAAACCAATTTTGGTTTTATGACCGTCATCACAAATGGCTTATTGCGGGAAAGCACAACAATCATTGCTTGGAGGCCGAACCTAAGAGTCGAACCATTTACATTAACCGATGTGACTCGGAAAATCCTTACATGAAATGGAGCTTTGGTAATGTAAATGATACGGCATTGGACATGTTTTTTCAACAAGAACCGAAATATTTTTGATAGAAATTTTCTCTGAATGACTCTCATGTAGTTTTCAAGGACCGATAAAATGTTGTCAAACAAATCATTGAATAGAGTATTAAATGTAGATATAGATAAAAAAAAAATATTTGCGTAAAAATCAATTTTCATAGAGTAAACAGAGTTTTACGAAAGAAAAGTTCACGTTTTATACATTTCCTGAAAATGAAATGGATGGTAAGTACATTTCATCCGATTTTAGTATAAGAAGGAGAAAAAGAACAGACGGACCTTTTTTTAAGAAAATAAAATGATTAAAACTAAATTAAAAAAATAAATAGTCAAAACTTATCATTATGTCGGGTACCTAGGGTAAAATTCGGTTTGAATTAAATGTTATTATAATCTGAAATACAAGATTTGAAGCCATAATTATTTATGTTTATATTATAATCATATAATATATCGTCGTGGGGAACGCAAGCACAGATTGAAGGTTACACATGTGGTTTGCAAAGTTAATTAATTTAATTAATTGTTCGGGGAATCTTGCCGTGTTTATTAGCCCTATGTAACTATAATGCCATTTGCAAGTTAGTTTATATTAGAGATGCCAGATCGAAATACAAGAAAATTGATCTTAGAATCGATTCGAAACGAAATAAATATAACACGGTGCTACAAAAAAATCACGAAATACACCCAAAAACTTAGTGTAGGTCGTGTAGGTAGGGTCGAAATAGGTTTCTTATACTTCCTGAACCCTACACCGTTATGTTCGTACTGGATGCACTTACACCGAGAAAACAAATCTTTACATCCAACAATTTTATCTGTGTTTGGAACAAGTTTTATTGGTTAAATCGTACCCAACAACTACTCGCATTTGAAGCAACAGCACAAAGACTGTTGATTTTTTTAACTAAATTAACACAACAATTTTTGCATTTAGAATAAAAGTGTATACATTTTTGTTTTAAATACTTTTTATTTGAGTTAACTGTCGAGGTCGTTGCTACAAAAATATGAAGCTGTTGAATCAAATACTTGGACTTTGAGCTTACATATTTGATTCAAATACTAATTTGCTGGGAAAAAAGTGAAAATTGTTGGAAAAAACCGCAATTGTTTTGGCTTACACTGGGAAAAATTTTAATGTAAACTAAATTGATTAGCTTTGGTTTGAAAAAACTTTTCATTTAAACGTTTTAAGTATTTTCATATATATAAAATGTAATTATGTAAACAATGTAAGTTTATTTTGTACATATTTGGAAATAAAAAATAATTATTGCAATAAGTTCTGATAAGTTATTAGATTTTTATGTTCCTCAATAAAATGAAAAATCAAAATTTTTTGACTGAGTGAAGTGAGTTATTACAAATAGAGCAAATATGAGCATTGGTGGAATAAGTACTTTTCACTGGACTTTATTTAATTTAGAAAAAACAATTTGTGATTTTGGAATTTTCTCTTCAGAAGAGATTTCAAATATAATTTCTTGTAAAAAAATCCACACATATTTGCGCTTTGCTGAATATTCTAAATTAAATATGAAACATATTTTTATTACCAGGTCCAGGGCGCGAAGTAAGGGTGTTACCTTGTAGCGTAAGCCATCCAAATAGACATAAAACTCTGACAGATTTTCGACTGAATGACCAATAACAAATGGCAAAGTCCTTCATTTCGCCTTCTTTTTGTTTGAAATTATTGCAATTTACTAAATATACTATCATGTCGTTTTGAGCGTCAGATATTGATGGCTTGGATATCTTACTGATTCGCGGAGGTAATAATATTGACTGCAGCAAATTCAACGAGTAAAAGTGCTTTGAATCTAGGAAATAATACGATGTAATATTTATTAAGGACATGATAATATAAAGCTTCTCAATACTTACTTACATTGATATCCTTTGACTGCGATGACGGTGCCGCTGTTAAAAATTTCATCAATATCGTGAGTGTACATCATTTTTAATATCTCTACGGATTTAATTGAAAACTCAGACATAATTTGTATGGCTTCGCTAGATAATCCCTATTCCAAGTATATCAATTTCAATTTTAACATAAGATATTGGAAGTCGGTGGCTTTCACATGAATTTTCACAAATTTCTGCGGACACATTTACAAAAATATTCAAATCCATATTTTTAAACTTGAAAGGAACGTCTGTTTCGTAAAACAATTGCCACAGAAATGACGCGACTTTAATTTTCTCAACAAGTTCTGCGGTAATTTAATTTACGAATGCGGTTGTCACAAAAATTTTACTTTTAGAAGTACCAATACTTCTTGTGAATTTCGTTGTATGCGTACAGATTCACTTTTAAATCAACAGCGTGGCTTTTAGAACTGAAATTAAACAGCGAAAATTTTTAATCCAACAACTTTACATTTGTTGTCAACAGTTTTACTTTTGTTTATTTTAAACAGCGTGTCAACACGATATTCTTGTATTAAAGATTTTCTAGTTGGGGCAAGTACTTTTTCCTTACAATTTTACTACACCTTTTCAAGTTTATATTGAGCAAATACAAATTGATAATGAGAAATGTAAACTCATATTGGGTATATATAAATTGATAATGAGAAAACATAAATTCATAATGAGAAAATACGTACACTCAGGCCTATCGCTGGGTGTTAGCGAAGATACGGAAGCAAAACCAAGAGGTGTAAGCGACCGAAAAAGCTGACTGAAGACAACGTGATGACTATGTTATCGTGGCTTGAAGGTGACTGCAGTTTTACCCTTGGACAATTAAAAAGAAAAGTACAAAACCAGTTTAATGTAGAATTGAGCCCCACAGCAGTGGCAAATTATCTCGAGGGCAATCTGTACAGTTGCAAAAAAGTCCATACGCAACCAATAACCATGAACTCGCAGGATAACAAATTGAAACGAGCCGAAAGTGGTAAACAAATAGCATGGAAGGATGAAACAAATTTTAATTTGTTTTGCCGAATGTTACGTTGCCGATAAAAAAATTGGCCACCGCGCCACTCACAGCTCCCTGCTTCCAGAGGGACGAACGTCCACTTTATTAATGCAATAACCACAGCTGAAGTGTTACACATAAAAAGGCAAACGGAGCGCTCACACACAGCGGGGGTGTAAATGCGTTGTCCAACTGTAATTTCGGGTTGTAGATATTATAAATTTTTTTGGCAGTGTCCCTTTATGCTTGCTTTAATTCACCTAATATCGCGACATTAGCTCGCAGACTCGAGAGTAATGTACTTGTAGCTCTTCAGTGATATAATTTTTTATGTTCTCATTATCAGTTTACATTTTCTCATTAGGAATTTACGTTTTCTTATTATCAATTTATATATTCTCATTTTGAACTTACATTCCTCATTATCAATTTATATATTCTCAATATGAATTTATATTTCCCATTATCAATTTTTATTTTCTCATTATGATTTTATATTTCTCATTACCAACTTACTGATCAGCTTTAGTTTCATAAAAAAATATTAAACTAAAAAAAAAACTAAAGGAAAATAACCAAAACTTGCAAAATGTCGCGTCACAGTTTATGTATACATATGAATATATCGTCGCTGGAATAATGAAATAGTGTAACATGAAAAGTATAGTTTTGAGAAAAACGATTTGGAAGTTTTTATAAACCATTACAAACCATACAAATACAATTTCGTTTTTTCGGGAATAAATTAGTGAGCCAAAGAAATATTTGAGAAAACTAAAGATTTTTCTGATGGTGCAATTATCGAATAATAGTGTATGTGGCATTTACACTGTTTCTTTATTCGAGCGACGATATTTGGTTCGCTGTAGGTATGTACAACTTTTCATAGATATTAAATTCTGTGGAAGGAGTGGGTGTTTCTACTAAATATCATCTGAAACTCATAAAAATTATAAACGTAACAAAAAAAATCAACCGCAGGCAAAATTTGTTTATGTGCATATGTATGTACAAACGTATGTTCACAAAAATTTTTATTCATTTATTAATGTGCATAATTAAGTAAAAAAATTTAAAACATGAAAAAAAATATTGTTAAAAAGAAGATTTGGCAGGTTTTCGTTTTTTATAAGCCTGCAACTTCTTTAAACACACATGTTGCCAGATGTTGCTGGCAAAACACATACATATCTGTTGCTAAACATTTACTTCTGTTTCTACCTCGGAATTTAACAGAATCATTGCGTTCCAAATGCCTCTGTTAAATTCCCTACTAGAAACGTTTCAGAAAATAAAAATTGCATACTATAATGAATTCAACTGAGTCGTTTGCACCTTCTCGTTCTTATATTTATGTTCTCTGTTTTTATCAGCTCTTCTTTTCATATCTTTTCATATCTGACAGAAATACGGTTATTAAACATACATGTATGACTAAACAAAAGAAGCTAATACCATGTTCTGACCAACATCGAAAACATGTTTTCGTTGCTAAAACTGGTTTTCGACCTAAAACTTGTGTTTTCGCCCATGTAAAATCTGTCAAACGAAAACTAGTTTTCGCTGGAAACTACTTGAAAACATACGTTCCACTCAATCAAATCCGTGTCTTCACTAGTTTATTTTCGATTATTTATCGAAGTGGGAGTCATATTTAATACGCCATTTCGGTTTTATTGTTAATTGGCTAGCCAAAGTAAAATTCGTATGAAAGTAAAAGGTTGTAAATGAAAAGAATGTGAAGGAAAAGTATTTTGGTTTTGTTTTTGTGTAGCAAAACTGTAATCAAAAGATGTAAGAAATGTCAATGATAACACTAACAGCTGGTGTGAACAGCCTTCAGCCCACAATCCCAAAACTCGTCTTCAAAGTGTTTTCTGGTCAGAACATGGTATAAGTTCTTCTTATTTGGCGCAGTANCATATCTGTTGCTAAACATTTACTTCTGTTTCTACCTCGGAATTTAACAGAATCATTGCGTTCCAAATGCCTCTGTTAAATTCCCTACTAGAAACGTTTCAGAAAATAAAAATTGCATACTATAATGAATTCAACTGAGTCGTTTGCACCTTCTCGTTCTTATATTTATGTTCTCTGTTTTTATCAGCTCTTCTTTTCATATCTTTTCATATCTGACAGAAATACGGTTATTAAACATACATGTATGA